ATAGCATGCCTGCTAAAGATGTATTTCTAGATGTTAGAATTGTGGGTTAAAAGATGTATACATATGTTTGTGTGCATATATATACACACACACACACTCCAAATCCCAGAAGATTTCAGGTGCTTTTGGACATTCTTTTCAGAATCAGGTTTGCAATAGCAAGCTTTTTTTCCTAAAAGTCACTGCATGCTTTCTGAATTTAACAGCACATCAATGTTTTATAACAAGTTTTAATCCCTGCTGGAAGCAGAGTATGTGTAAAAGGCTTGGAAAAAAAAAAAAAAGAGTAAAAAAAAAAAAAAAGACAGGCACTTGGGTAGAGCTTGTCAAAAGCTTATCTGAACTTGCAAATCCTTTGAGATTTCCCTTTAACCATCAGTTTTAACTCTAAGTTTTCTGTGCTGGAACCAGGAAAATATAAAGTATTTGAACTTAAGGGCCAATATCTATTCAATAACTTTATAGAAGACTCTTCCATTGCCCTTTCTCACTAGATTCTTCAGTGCTGAAAGCACAAAGTGCTCAGTCTGACAACCAGTGAAGCTAAGAATGCACCAGGGTCTGATGGATCCACTGATGGAATTCTACACCAGCAATCCTAGTAAGAGTATTAGACTGGTAAGAGTACTGTGAAGCTTCTAAAACAATAATTATGGATTTGTAATTAACTGTAGGTATAACAGAGAGCATCACTCCAGGGAACTGTGTGAAAGGGGAGAGTGAGAGGGAGTATCTGACCTTGCCTGCTAAAATAAACAGGCATAAGTCAGGAAATAGCAGAAGAAAGCTGATTCTTAAGCCTTAAACTTGAAAGACTTCCAATTCAGGAAAGAGTAAAAAGGCTTGATAGGAATCGTTCTTAAGCGAATGACTCCATCTTCCACAAGCCTCCAAATATGTAGAGAAACTGGAAACAATATCTTGAGGGGAAAAAATATTTTATGAATATTGTTTGGGTAGAGGCTCTCCATTTCTTTACATGGATGCAAAAAAAGACATTTTGGAGTGTTAAATCTAGAGTGCTGGGGCAGTCATTAAATTGGCCAGTAGGAGGCACAACTAACTTGCATTAAGTCGGTTTCAGGGGGTCACAAAACATGGAAGCTGATCTCTTTTCCTGGTCTTGAAAGTAAATTTTAACTTTTTAACTATCTGAACTTATTTATGAAAACTTTAGCTTTTAGTAACTGACATTATTCATCAGAATAGAACTTTATTTTCCTATGGTAGCACTATTTTTTTAAAAATCATTTAAGTGGATGGGGTAGGATTAGAGAATACCAAAACAGAATACTTAGATTACTTACCACATGAAGGATTTTATTTTCTGTTTCATACACTGTACAATCCTGTGGTAAAATAAAACAAAAGCAATTAATGCACAGTATTTTAAATTTCCTATTCAGAAAGAAAAGAATGCTTTATGCTTATAACTACCTCTCACAGATGTACCTGTAAAGACAAATGATCTCTTGAGTTTTGACATATCCAAAAGCTTACTTCACAGTCTTAGGAAACTTGACTTCTCTTGTGAGAGATCCCTCTTCTCAGGGATCTAGTCTTCCCTTTCTAGTCATGAAACTCTCATGCTCAATACTAGCAACAATATAAATGTAAAGCAGAGGGGACAGATTCATCATAGTGAGAAAAAAGTAATTGAATATAATTCATCTGGCATGTCAGAAATTCAATGATGCACAGAGTGAGAGACACATTGCGTAGCTTTAAATCAGGCAGAATGTTCGTTAGTCATTCTACAAGTTGTGTGGGGTGCAGACAGTTGTGTCAGACCTACCACTAGGTAGACTGTGCTACTATACAGCATGGAAAAAAAGAGTAAACAGAGAATATTTTATCAAGTACAATGCTAAAGACGTTAAACATGGTGTGTTTGGTTCACTCCTTTTGCTTCAAGGCCCTGATTATCTACACCATCCACAAGGGACAAGAAACAGCAGTGGTCCCATCTCTCAAGAGAAGTCATGTAACTGCTCTAGCTTTGGACTTTGGAAGGCACAAGTCACACCAAAAAGGGGTAAGAAAGGACATGGGCTTGCTGATGTTGAGCACTGGTCCAAGGATATTCAGGAATTTTCACTGCCTTAAGGCCTCCTAAAGAACAGCTCCATCACAGTTTTCCATCACACAACATTGCTGTTAAGCAATTTAATGTAGGCCTGAAAAAACAATACTCCTGATTAACCTTTTTATTTGCTTAAGAGTTGTAACTTCTAGAGCAACCATTATCCTATTTTAGTTATCATTTTAAGTATAATAAATCTTATCACTATATAACTTAAGAGTCATTACTCCCTTCACTTGCATTTTGATTTAGTGATATTACAGTGGCTAGAATATTACTTTTCCTTCATGAAACAAAGCATACAAATTCCTAAAAGAGATGTACTGCCTCTACTGCTTTTAATACTTTGTAGATTTCCTCAGTGCAATCCTCTATAAAGCAAGACAGAGTCATGGTAAGACGGTATTTAACCCTTTCCTACAGGAGAGGGCCGAAGTGCGCTGAGGCAGCTCTACCCCACCCTCTTCCTGCCAGTCCATGCTCCAAATCATCGCATGGGTGCTCAAGCTTTATTTTACCAAAACATAAAATTAAAAGGAAAATACGGAAAATTGAAGTTTTCCAGACAGAGTGAAGATTAGACTCCCCAAAAAACCTGGTCACCTCTGAGGCCTGCTGCAGCCCCCATGGCCAGGCTCCGTCTCCCCCAGGACCCAGAACCTTCCTGCCGCTCGCCTGTGACACCTACCTGCCATCAAAGGGGGGCTTTTCTGTAACAAAATCTGAGGAGAAAATATTTCTGGTGTATCCCAGCACCTCCCTGTGCTCAGGGAGGCTGACACCCTGACCCTGTGGCTGGCAGGAATCCAGAGCCCTGTGAGGGAGGGAACGAAGAGGCCGCCACAAAAGGTACTGAGGACCGGGCAGGGTGGGATCCTCGCCTCACCAGGGGCCTCGTTTATCATAGGAAACTTGTTTATAATGCTATACTGGCACTGATTATTTAGATTTAAGTGAATTAATGGCTAATAACAGAAAAAAATTATGTTGGGTGATTGCTACGTATGTCTCCAAATGCTATGTCACATTGGAAAAAGCTTTCTACAAAGCAAGATTTCACGACATATTTTTAAGGATGAGGATATGACAAGTAAAAAACCTGTCTTGTTTATTTGTCTTTTTTCCTTGAATAAGTTTTTAAGTAAAATTTAACTTACTGACACACGTAAAAGAACCCCTCAAGGAACTTAAGATTCCCTATAGTTCTCAAGATTTCCTTTTTCCTGCATCTTAATATATTAGCAACAACAGTTAATTGCTTTAAACTTCCCATTAAATAATCCCAGCATTCTCACTCCATGTACTTTAGAAGCAGATTAGCTATGTGATCAGCTTAGGCTGTGGTACTCCTTGTGAGAGAAGCATCAGCTAACCGGCAGATGTCTGCTCCTCCTGTCCAGCAGCTCAAATCCTCGGCTACGTCCCATCCACGGAGGCCGTGTCCAGCTCTCGAACCTTCTGCCTTGGGTGCTGCTGTGAGGACCTTGTCCCTCAGCCCGCCCCAGGCTGCTGCAGAGCAGCTTCAGCCTGTCTGAGCCACTCGGCCCCGGGGAACGGG